TTTTTGGGACCATTTACCAAAAATTTGTGATTTTTAATCGAAAAAAAGTTTTCATCGAATCGGAAAGATCGTTACGACTTCTTCGTTCACGTTGTCGATTAAGTACGAGGGATATCGCCGACAGGTGAGATGTATATTCTCAAAGATACCGACAGTTCGATACACGGAGGGAGAAAAATGCTTGAAGAAACGTCGAACATTTCGAAACGAATCCGCTTACATATACTATTCCCATTTAAGGCGTGTAACAACGTTCGATGAAACGACCGAAATCGAAGTGATCGTGCAACAGGACACGTCTTTGGGATGCTCGTGTTTACATTTTGCCGGCTTAGTCTACTAACTGAGCCTTAGCGACGCATGCATGCGAGATATTGGATCACGGATACACAGGACTACACTAATCGAAAACTCGGATATTTTTTTGTCGGTCCAGCGAGAAATCGAGCTTTGAGGTTACGTGTCTACCGAAATCCTCCGAAGAGTAAAGTAACGGATAAAAGATATCCGATATTATACTACAGAAAAATAGACAATTTTTATACTGGGAAAAAGTTAATTTTTCTCAAAGCACTGAATTCAAAAATAGTTCTTTACGATAAAGAATACTACAGAAAAAAACGGATATAAGACACTTATTATATTTTTGATCGAGCGTTTGATTGCGTTATATTTAAAGGATTACATATACCTTGAAAAAATGCCCAATATTGGAATTTTTCTGCTGACACATCACTGACTTTATAAATATGTCCCTTTGAAGGATAATTTTTTATACTTTTATTTAAATATTACATGAAGCTCATTACGAAAAGTTGATTTTGTATAATGGGCAATATGTAAATAAAAGTATGAAGAATCATCCTTCAAAAGAACGTCTTCGTAAAGTCAATATGATCAGCAGAAAGATTCAAACATTGAGCATCTTTCTTAGTACATATATAGTTCCTATTTTTTCAACGATAAGTCGGCGATAAAAATGGATACGCGGCCCGACAAGCTCCGACAGATCCTACTGCTAATCCTCCCCTAATTCCGCGTGTCCGTCTATCTGCGTTTACAAAATCTGCGTCCCGGGACGCTCGAGGGACCAGAAGCCGCAACTACGAGCAAAAATAAGCATCACCGTGGATCTGGCCTCGCGCTTTTCGATATAAAATTCGTTAAATATCTAATTAAGTGTCATGGTTGACTGCAGTCTATCTCGTTACGTCGTTGGGTGCGCGCGAATCCGCGACTCGCTTTTGATAAGAAAGTCTCCCGCCGCCGCCCGGCTACATCAATTGACACATGCGGCTCGTCTCATCGCGAAGGGGGATTATACAAAAGTGCTGCGTCCGGCGTTACGATTTGTACGCGCTTGGCGCGCACGCGAGTACGTTCAGCGAGCGGTCTACGGAGCCGCAAAATGCCGCGCGGAAACGCCGTCGCGACGACAGAGAGAGAGCGACTTATTGTCGGTTCGACGAAGAGCAATCGCCTCACGGTCGAGATCAGCGACCAAGATGGAACAGAAAATAGCGATGACGTCGAGATAACGAGAAAATGAACATAAAATTCACTTGTTGTTCGTTTTTTCGTCATTCTGACGTCATTTTTACGTTATCTTCATTTTCTGTTCTACCTAAGGTGCTACCCGCCGTATTCTACAGGATTACATCCCAGAGTCAGCTTCCAGCGGAATACCTCGGGCAATCACGCGCGAAAATCCATAGAAGGTGTCTCCTCTCTCGGACCTCCGTAAGACGCCCGGGCATTCCGTCCGATGGCTGTTCGCAATTTCAGAAGAATGCGTGAAAGATCTCTCAGGCATCGACAAGACAACCAACGGAGGACGTTGTACTCCTCCGTCTCATACAGGAGCGTGTCTCGTCGAGCGCGTTTTCCTCACGCCTTCTCTTTCAGTCTCCCGTTGGAGGTCTCTGCGAGGACTTTCAATCGAATTCACGCGTTCTCTCCCTTTCTTTCTTTTTCTCTTGCGATGAATTTAGATAGTCTGGCGCTAAGCCGGTACATGAGTCGGCATGCTCGAAGACGTCTGCAGGGGCGAGCGCGTCTGGTGGAACCTGAGCAGCTCGGCCACGGTGACGGCGACACGCACGACCCCGCGACCTCCCTCCAGAACGTCGCTGGCGCAACACACGAGATTCTGAAACAGGTCAGCAGAAAGACGCGCGTGAGTTAAAATAGTATTCTAGTCTAGAATTCCAAGGATTTTCCTTTTTTTCTTTCGATTTTTTTTTTCTTTAGAATTAAACCATTAAAAATTTAAATTTTTTATAGTTTCAAATTTAAATTTTCAACAGTTGGAATTTCGTTCAAAATGTTCATACTTCTCGAAATTCTAACGGTAGCTACATTCATGTAGACTACAAAAAATATCTATTATTTCAGGTAATTAGGGCGGTTGCAATTAATACGTCCGAGTGAACGCATATTTCGTGACACCGTTTGCGCGTCGATCTCTAGCTTGTGTAATTTTTAACAAAATGATCTATAAAAATTTGGAATGTTACTTCAAATATAAATAAATATCCGTGCAAAACCAACCGTTCCGTAGTTTTAATAGTTTTTCTTATTTTAATTCCTAAACATCAGCTTGAAAACGAGTGGTCTAGACTGGAAATTTTGCGCAGGATGCAAACATGTTCGTTCTCATACGCGCACAAGGGATGTGTCGTATCAGATGCGAATTTAAGAAAAGGATATTTTATTATAAATAGCGGTAGTATTACAATCGTTATGTTACCCATACAATCAACGTTACAGAGTATACCTCAGAAAAGGGAAACAAGGCCGACGATATCGCTGTTGCCCGAGCGGCGAGACGACCGAGGAAGTGTGATTTCTTCAGTTTCTCTCATTGGAATCGACGAAAGTGAAAAAAAAAAGGGAAAAGCGGGGACGCGACATTGGCTTCGTCATCTCGCCACTGGGACCGTTCTCTCTAATAACGAAGCGTCAGGGATGGCGGACGAGTGTCTTTGTGCGCGACCAATTCGTATAAATAAATTAAATATTGAAAGACACAGAAACGAGCAACACATTGCAAGGACTTGTAAGTACGGATCGATCTATGCAAATTGCGCACGCGTTTTAACATCGGTTAAGCCGTTCAACTCGATCGTTGAATGGCGACGCTTCGGTGTCGAGTCGGGTCGAGTAATTGCGTTCCTTGAATTCAGGTAGTGTCCGGCTGAATTCGCCGAGTTTCCTGAGTTACCGGTAAAAAGTCCTAATTAAAAATGACACTCCGGTCTGCCTATTACATTCGATTGTCGTTGCTACGTTACCACTCATTGTGCGATGCGACAAGGCTGAGCCTCTGATCAAAAGCTGCGAACGAATTCCACAGTTATTAGCACTGAACGATAATATCTCCCGGGAGATTACCGCGTAAGTTTGTTCGGTCAATAATGCATTTATCGTGCAAACCGTTTCAAGTGTCTTCCTCGGAATCGGAAAGTTTGAGAGGGAGCGATCAGTGGACGCGTTCGAATTTAATACACTGATAAACAATAAAAACTTTGTGTTTCAAACCGCGTTATGCTCAAATAATTAATTTTTTGCTATTTTAATGGGGGGAATACGTTGAGAACTATACAAAAAAGTACAATATGTTAAATTGACATATTCATCATGTTAACATATTACTTTTAAACATATTCACTTTGTTAAAGTAATGCAAAAATTGGATTGGATGGGCCGTTTGTGTGACACAAAATTTTTCACTCTGTGTAGCTCTTCGAAGTAAGAAATTCGTTAATATCTATTAATGTCTCGATCGAGTCAAAATGTTGTTGTTTATATCAAGCTCTACTCGCACGAAGTGCTCAAAATTGAAGGCTCAAAATCAGACCCGACTCGACCACGGCAGTACAATGCGTTTTTTATGTGCGTTTTTCTTTCAGATCTCAGCTGGCGCGCTGAGCGCTTCGTTAAGTCACGAGGATCGTGTTGGGACGAGTCGATCGTGCTAGGCTCGCCGATCCTGACCGCTTAGGCTACGCGTATCTATTTAGAAAGGAATTATTGTCTGAGCTCGGTGAGCAGGCACGATCGACCGTGCAGGACGAAGGCGGCGCTCCCGGGAGAGCGAACGCCGCGAAATAAATATGTAACCGTACATATAAATGGACGAGAAGCTTCAGAAGCTTACGCGAAACAACAACGAACGAAAATAGACCAAGCACCAAATGGATTTATCCAACTAACGAATAATTTAATTACGCTTATGTATATTCGCATAAAACACGAAAACGTAAGATAAAAACAAATGGAGAGAGAGAGAGAGAGAGAACGAAGAGAAACGCGGCAAAAGAATTCAACGAGAATTATATATATCTGTGTATGTGTCTGTCTCCATATATCTATCTCTCTATATATCTGTATATATATATATATATATATATAAGCTTTTTTTGCGCGCGCGTGTACGTGTGTGTGTTCTTTACAAAAATTATACGACTATACACAAGAGTTAACGCAACGGAATGATTTCGTATATATACTTCCTCGCCCGACCCCTCTCCCTCCATTCACTCATTGTGTCGTGGATATGCTTAATGTGATGTAGCCTCTTGTGAAAGCGAAAGCTTGTTAGTATAAAGATTGCGAAGATCCAATGGATCCGCGAGATCAGTCCTCGACGCGATTGATACATATTCTGCATAGCCGCAATTCAAATCGCATCGAGAGATGCGGTGTCGAATTTACGTTGTATAGAATATAGATCTGTATTTCACAGAATAAAAATTAGAGACGAAATAATTTTATAACGATTCTATGATAATTACTTATCATTTTACAGTAATTACTGCACTGAGAAAAAAGCGGTTGGATTTGCAAAATCGTTGAAAAAAGAAATGTTGTATCCACTGAACCAATTACGCGTTGGTGTAACAAACGTTAAGCAAAATTTCGTCGATTCAACTACACACAGAGAAAATTATTGTGGTAAAATTACCACAAAATTTTGTAATATTGAACCATATCGGAATTATAACTGAAATTATGATGTGTGTTGTAATCTTTAATGATATACTTCATTGTACACATCACTAAAATATAACTTTTGCAATGCACGTAATAATCTCAGTCATATTCTGATGTAAGCCAGCATTACACATTTTGTGATCATTAATATATCACTATTTTTTCTGTGTATACATTTTTTTCTCATCGTGTATCGTATCGTTAGCAGATTATCGTCTGTCTGATTGATACTCATTCAACAGGTCGACAAATATGCGGGAAAACCCGACGGCAGGTGTCTCGGGCGATCTCGCGGATCGTGTGTCATGCCACATAGAGCCGGCAACACAAAGTATATCGGTACGCTAAAAATTCGAATCCAGTCTTAAATAGTACGAGCTCGGATACTTGGACACCTCGTCCACGAGAATTCTAGCGAGAATATAATACTGATATAACGTGGCCGTGACGACCGTAACGTACTCGCGTCCGCGGTGAATCGTTAGGCACTCGTCGCGATGATCGATGATGATTAAGCGTAATGGAATATCCGACGATGACTCGCCCGTCGTACGTTCGTTATTCCACAATGGACGGGCGACTCCATTTGTTAGACCGAAGCGCGGAAGCTATATTAGCGGACGCCTAATCACGTTTAACATCCGGAACGCCCGGCGACGTAATTTGTCCACCGACGATGCGGTTTCGCTTGCAGTCGAACGTTGCGTCTCAAACATCAATTGCATTCTCGTCGTTTGCGAAGGAACTTTCTTTCTTCTTTTTCCACGAAATTAACGCCATCGACTACTCGGTATTTCACGTATCGTGATTGTGCATCGAATGAAAAAGAATCTCATTTTTTTTTATGTCTAAGACGAGTAGAGATAAACTTGCCGGAGCGAAGTTGAAGGTACAAAAGTAACGTGAGCAGAAAAAAATAAACCGAGGTGTGAGAGAATCTGCGAGACGCAAGAACCGGGCGTTCTAACGTTAACAGCGGGGAGAGAGACGACCGCTCTACCGACCAAGCTGACGGACGATGGGATTAACCGTTTTAGTGTCAGGGGTTTTTAAAAATCCGTGTCGCCATGCAGCGCGATAGCGCTTCGTTCATTTATCTGCGAGTAATGCCGATCGCGCTTCATTTCATCAGTCATATCAGAAACGTTATATTAAACATTCAAAAGTTTGCAAAATATTCGTGTTTTACGTTTTGTTTACGTGATAACATTCTATAATACAGGTTTTGGTTTTCCAATTCAAGAGGTACGTACGACGAGCTACATTCGGAACCGAGCGTGTTGCGAATTGACGATCGTGACCAAACATCGCGGTACATTTCACCACAGTACGCGAACAGCGCGATCGAGCTGCGTGGCGCTAAAACGGTTAAGTAAACGAATGACTCGTTGGCGATTCGCGCGAATGAAACCACGCACGGGGTGTGTAATGTGACGGCGGAAATGCGGAAAATGCAGGGGGAGAAACAAGAGACAACTCGGTGACTAGAGAACGGCTGGCTCGTCTTACTAACTAATGATACTATTATCGTACGACTAGAAAGTGCGAGACACCCGGCTGCGAAACAAAAACGCGGATTACGGCCGCGGGCATAATCCCGCGGGGGTCGAGCAAGTCTTGAGAAAAAAAAAGTCGTGGAAGATACGGTACTCACCCAGATTGTATCCCCTTAAAAAGATACACTGGCATACACTGGCATATGTGTGTGTTAGTTAATACGATGTGTCGATTCGCGACGATACGCTCTCGTCATATATAAATATATGTTACGCTTACGATAGTCTCTCGAAGTGCGGTGAGGGCGTCACTCCCCCTCCCTTGACGGTTCTTCTAGCTGGGTGTATGTAGTGTAAACAAACAAGAAACGAACGGCAAATGGCAGGCTCAGGCATTGTTACAATTTGGAAAATACACAGAAAAATGGAGTGCCAGGTTCAACTAAATCATTACTTTAATGCTCTTTGGTAAATTTTTGCTTGGATTAGGTAAATTTTACTTGGATTAAGTAAACGATACTTGATCCAACCATGTACACCCAGCTTTGGGGGGAGTGCGCGCTGCGTCCCGCTTCGTACGAAATAGCCGTACGAATACTACGTACCTCATTTCGCTCGCTCTCTAAAAAATTCCACTTTTGCGTTCTCGAATCGGCTCGAGTGATTCGATCGACGAACGGGGGTGGTTACGCTTCACGCTAGGAAAGTCTTTCCTGACCTCACCCAAATCATACGCGATGCCTGTCGAAGAAACGGGAAGGGACGACGAGATTCCCCGTGCTCGAGAACACGCCACGGATATTTGGCACTTCATGCGGATAAGTACTGCGGCGATTAACGTCGAACATTCGCGTGTCGAGTCTGTCCGACCCTGTCCTTCCTCTGGAAAGAACTGAACGGCTACGTGGAAGGCACGTAGGTGCCGATTCATCTGAGACCGCCCGTGCCCCTTCCTCCGACAGAGATCGCGCGTCCCATTTACGAATCTGCGGGGCGTCCTCTCTCTTAAACGTTACGATATAAGTTACATGATTGTAAATATTGTTATAGACGATACATGCCCTCTACGTTCTTATCGTGTCTTTATGAAAATAAATTGGCAGGTAGCAGGCACCGTGTCTCTACCGTCGTGTAGCGTAGTTTGCGGTTACTTTGATCTCGAGGGGCTTCGACCTTGGTATCAATATCTCTTAGAGCTGCCTATATTGTTGTTCGACAGAGTGAGAGAGTACGGTAAGTATATCAGAGACCTGCTGATGATTCATACGGGGTTCTGTAACGTACTACAGACTTACACTTCACACTCTCACACACGCACATACGGACTCCTGTTCATTCGTTACGACAAATTGGCGAGGTAAAGGCGGTCCTACATGCTCGAAAATAAACCAAATATCGGGTTCTGAGGGCAACGAGTGTTGAGATTAAAGTAACTCCAATCTAAGGTACGATATCCTAGATTACGATCGAATTGCTTGGCCGGTGAAGTAATCGGAGTAATGCTCCGTCACTTAGCGTTTTTCCCTCCCCTCGTCAAAATGAAAACGCGCGCCGGACAGATATCGATGATGAAGAAGAAGACGGACAGATCGGTCGAAACTTACGAAACTACGAGCGAGGGAAGCGACGTAAACTTATACAGACGAGAACGAATGTAATTGTAATCGCGATATTACACAACTTCACGCAACGATCAAAAACACCCTCGCTAAATCCCCTTACATTACCAAAATAGAAGATCCTCCAACTAAAAGAGATTCCCTAGCACCTTTGTTCCGTTTCTTTTCTTTCTTTTTTTTTCTTTTTTTTCTTTTTTATTGAATCCTGTAGTACTCGCAGGCTACCTATCACAGATCCACCAATCCTGAAAGAGCCGTAAGCGGTTCATTTGGTCGAATCTTAAAAAAATACTACCGTCGAAGGCATCGAACAGCTTATATCTCTTCCGTTCGCTCTTTCTTCTCTTCCTGAGGTTCTCTGCCGCGGACCCAAGGCTTATTAAAGACGCGGAGAATGATGCCGCAATACCGGCTGAAAGAGCTCCCGGAATTGGAATTCTGAGGCTTCTCACCGTACACAGAAGGCAATGGATTACTTTCCGAGACTTCGGACAGCTAATGCGGGATGATTATACACGACTTTATGCGATTCTTCAACGAGTATTGCACACCAGCTCTCGATTTCGACCACTACCACCACTCTATCCTTTTCTTCCTCTTATCAAAATATCATCTCGCCAGCGGATTCAAGCCGACGACGATTCAAGCCACCTTCTTGTTTGACCCACAAAAGTGGAGGGTAAAATTAATCGTGTCGTTCGGTAAGGTACGTTCACACGGAGAGACAACCAAATGAGTGATATGCGAGCGCCTTCGACTTTGATTGCGCTCTTTGATTTTTGTTTCCTTTCTTTTCTTTCTTTTTTTTTTCAAGAAAAAGAAACCAACGAGAACGCGAAATAAAAGTTTCGCTCGAGAAGATCGCGAATATTATCTTCTGGACATTGTCTCGTCGCAGTATCAGCTACGTGCAGAACGGTATACGCGCTTTAACCATTCGCGCATCGTCGATGAAAAAAAAAAAAGAGGCCTTTCAGCGTTGCAAAAATAAATGAACTTACGTAACAATTAGCAATTCTCTACAGCCGACTGGACGCTCGTCTCGTCGAGCTGTCTATCGTCGCACTTAAGAAACTACCCTCGAAAATTCTCCGCCGACCGCGGGAACTTGCGGGACGGAGGTCGAAAAAAGCGAAGAGAACCCTGTTTAAACTGCCATCCATGATGATCAAACGAATCACAATAGAAAAAGAAAGTAGTACTCCCCCGCCCCGAAGTCCGAGTACTAAGCGGCGGTCTCGTACATACGGCTGAAGATATGTTCTGACGTTTTTTAAAGCATCTAGACGCGGCCATCCGTTTGATTTGTACGCTCCGAAAGACACTTTAAAAATCGCAGAGTCGTCGCTTCGACGTCGAGACGATGCCCCTTGGTGTTCTCTCTCTCTCTCTCTCTTTCTCGGCGCGTGAGAAGATGACGTGCGCGTTAGAGACGCGAGAACAGCATTTCGCCTGTTATTAAACGTTAATTAAACGTTCAAGGATGTGTACCCTCCACCGTTGATGTCACTCGGGGATCCTCGACGTCGAAGGCGCGTCCGACTTATATCACGCGCACGAACCTCTCGACGAACGAAAGTGCAAGCAGAATTCTGACGGAAAGCAACCGCGCGAATAAAGAAACGTCGAGAGTGTCGCGTGTTCTCGCGATAGCGGGACGGCGAGTCTCAGAGTCGTTGTCGGCGTGTGTCTCGCGCTGAGCGACAGGGAGAGACTCTGAGAATCGCCGCTGCTCGCGAGATGATATCTCGTGGTTTCCGCTCTTTTGTTTGTTCTCCCTGTTAGCTCTCGTCGCTCGTTTCTCGCGCTCTGCCGCCGCCCTTCCCGTGACCTCTAGTCGGGGATCGGGAAGAGGTAGAGCAGCACCAGGGTGGATAGGAATGTTGCAAAAAGTATCGCGGACAGAACGCGGTCTTGAATCGTACGGGGTGAACCACCTGCGGCCGGCTCTCCGGTACCACTCTCCCCCTCATCGCGAGAAAGGAGAAGAGCGGTGACGAGGCGCGCCAGATCTTCGAGCCCGTACGTGTCCATGTAACCCACGTCCATGATTGAGTCCGCGTCCAATAACACCTCCTGCAACACCAACAACGATACTACTCAGTCCCAGTTTCTACGTTTTACCGCACTGCGAGGTATCATTTCACTTAAACGCATGTCTCTTCTCGAGGAAGGCCCTATTTTCCCGCACCAATGAGAACGAAGCGTTCCCCCGGGGAATAGTCACATCCCGACCTACCACTGTATCGTGCGAGGAAGTCGCTCGCGAGAGAACTTTTGATGGAGTCTTTATTATTATCATTTATTTGCGGGAGGATTCTTTTTGGTATACATCGATTACAAGACTCAATACATAATTTCAAAAAGTAAAGAAAAGAAAGATAAGATGCAACAATTTACATTAAAAAAGATTATAAATTTTGCTTATAAATTCCTTCCAATAAATGCCACTTTATTGGCTGATTTTTCTAAACTTTGTAAATTTGCCAGGATCGATTGTGCGTGTAACCAATTTGCCAGCTTGTTTTCTCGTCAATTACATCAAAAGTTCCATCGACGAAGGATATCAGAGGGAAGAGTGGGTGAGGGGAGAGATTATGAAATGATAATATTACATATTAGTACAACGATTGGTGAAGACCGTTAAGGAGTTGGTTAGTCCGTGGATGTTAATCGATAAGAGAATCGAATGATGGCGGGATGAGCCAAGGTACAGACTGTTCCCCGAAGAAGCGACACAAAAGCGAACTGGATTCTAGGCGCATGCAACTAAAGCTTCTTCGCATACCCCGTTAACTCTCTTTTCCTTCCCCTCGTCTTGTATTCGCAATCATATACACCCGTCTCTCTTCACATGTTCTTTCGATTTACGCTCGATCGAGAGATCGGGTCAAAATCGGGGACTGACTAGTAGTTGCTGGAAGTGTCATCGAGAAATGACGGCTAGGTCGCCGAAGCGTTAGTCACGACGTGTACACAGATGTTCGGTTACGAGTAATAATGCGTGACAAACTTTCCCTCTGCCCGACTCTTCACCGAGCAGCTTCGGCAGGTCTGACGTTCTCGAGAAGAGCGAGTTTTCGCGCAGTATCTCTTGTCCATTTCACACTCGGCTCTTCACGCCCACGATCAGACAGCGTGAGATTCAAATTTACGCATCGTACTGCCGTGATGTATTCTCGTCACATCGCCATTCGAAGAAAGTCGCGTCGATTCTTTTCCATTCCGGAAGCATCAACGCGTTCTCGACGTTGCACGCGAATATTTCATGCATAGTATGTACGAACATGTTACAAGTACCAAGTAATGAGCGAAAAAGAGAAGCACAAACTTCCTCGAAACTAATTAACGAGTTTGACGGCGTCTTACCTCATCGACGCCGATCTTCCGGCACGCCTCGAGAAAGTTGTCGACGTTACGCCTGCATCGCGCCATTGTCAGTTTAGGCTGCAAAAGAAGAACACGTCGACACGTCAGTTTGCCGTCGTCAAGGCTTTCGCCAGTCTCGTCGTCGAGACACGAAAATTGCTCTTGCGAAAAGGCACTTACTACAGCAGGAGAAGGAACATGTATACTGGCGACCGATCGTGGTCTCACGTGGTTGGCCAGGTGACAGAGCACGACGCCGTCCGTCAACGCCGGCGCGAGGTCCTCCGGCAATGCCATCTTCAACCTCGTCTCTATGTGCTGAAAGAGATGAGCACGATAGAAGCAATAGAAGCAATTTCGAATTGACGTAACCATAAACATAAACCTTAAGCCGAAGAACCGATCAGAATACTGATCGCCGATCACCTGTCGGTACTTACGTTTCTCAACTGGTCGATAAGATCAGCCTCTTCCTTGGCACGCTCGAACTCTCTCCTCATGGTGAAGGAATACTTCTCGGGTAGGTTGGTGTTCCACGTGACGGACCGCGGCGATTTTGGGCTGCCGCCGTTTCTGCTCGGGCTCTTGTTGCCTGGCGAAAGTATACACACTATGAATATGTTGTGCAATCGAGTCTTTTTCTCGCCGCGTGGGATGTATAAGAGAAACTTGCTGTGGAACGAAGAGGTTCTCTTATACATCAACTGCACAAGTGCGTTCGCGCAGATGAGAATCCGTGTAATGTCGGCGTCGGTGCCCGAAGGAATATTGCCTCAACGTTATTTTGTTGTTGCGATTATTACTATGAATGCTTTTATTGAGTACGTTAGAGGACGCGACAGGTATGAGCAGTGTACAAAGAGATAAATATAAAGCGCGCGAGAAAGGCAAAAGCCTAACCTAAAATAATGGTTGACATTGAAAGATAATAAGGAAGCATCCATTTTGCCCCTCCGTATATTTGTCAGTTAGCGATTGCTCTTGTCTGTTGCGGGAAAGTGAAAACAACTCGCGTTCAAGAGCAATATTCCTCGGAGACGCGACCCAATTGCGCATCTGATTTTCCTCGTCCCGAATGAGCGTTACCTTCTACGTAACCAACGGCGGTTTTCACCAGCCTGGGCGCGTGCGCCGGGCTCGCATTCGTCGACAGAATGCTGCTGGAGGTTTTGATGGGCGAGCTTGGCTTCTTGTACGGTTGATCGGGATATTTTCCGTTCTTGTTGTTGTAGTCGCTGCTGCTGCCGTTGATGATCGGTGTGTTCTGGTAGTTGATTCGCGACGGGGTGACCTTCTGCACCGGCCTCTTCAGCGCGTTCTCCTCGTTAAAGATCTGCTTGCCGGTGAGAGCGATCCCACCTTCCTTGTTGCTGCCCGAATCGGTCTCGTTGTTCTGCGACTCGTTGCCCGGGGGTGTCACCTGCTCGCGAGGTCTGTACACGCTCGGGCCTTCGTTGGCCCTCTGCTGCTTCAACGCCTCCTTGTACTCTCTGAGAATTCATTCGACGGAACTTGTGATTTTCAAGCACACCACGTCATATTGTGTACGATAATACAGCGATTCTCAAGGGTGTATTTCACGTTCTTTGCGAATATGAACGAGCAAGAAAGCAACTATGACATGTATCAACAGAGATTATATATGCAAAATATCGAAAGCGATGAAAAATATGGAATTACTGACGTTGCGATTCTCTTGTATCTCTTCCTGTGAAACGTGAGATTTTCACGAACCAATATCTTGATCTTCTAACTTTCTTGGGACAAAGGTAAAAAATCTGAAAGTCCGAGTAATTCTTTTCTGAAATGTGTCTCTCATTGTTAACGTCAGTCTATCGAGAAAACATTATTTACATCGCAACTCCTATATTTCTACGTGTAGGCAACGTATGTTTACTTCAACCTCGGACTGTAATCATCGCTCTGGAGACAATTAATGCAGCGTTATTCGGCAGTATCGTTCACGACAGCGATCTCCGGTGCGACACTGTCGGAGCGCTTCCACCGGAGGATTCAGGTGCGGTTTGGACGAACCGGCAACGTGGGTAACGTAAACGCGATGACACGAGACAAACTTGGAGAAGAGGACGAGGAGGACTTTCGTCGCTGTTACAGGACACAAAGCGGAGTTACCTGTACGTCTGTATGTGATTCAACGGCCTCTTATCGTCTCCGTTCACCAGCGCGGTGAGATTCGTCGTGGAGGTCTGGAGTGGGTGTACTGTTTGCGCGGACGATATCTGCTGCGATTGATTCAGATGTGTGGATTCCAGATGACTGTAAAAAAAGGATTGCCAGCCACGATAATGCACATGCACGCATGCAAATGTGTACGTATTATGTATGTACGTACGTGTGTGTGTGTGTGTGTGTTTATATATGTATATATGTGGAAATTATCGCGTGTAGGTGATAATCCGTATCACAATATCAATGGAAAACATCGAGGGGATGTTCGTTCGTTCGTTCACTCGTCCGTACGTTTATTTCGAGGGAAAGTGCACGATGGGACGAGGGTGGTTTGACCCACCGACCGTCGTGGACGAGAGGCTTCGTTACTCACCCCGGTGGCGTAATCGATGTGTGATGAAGGCTAGAGATCATCGGTCTTCTGATGTCCGCTCCGTTTTCCGAGGCACTTCTCTCCAGTCTCCTTTTTTCCAGCTGATCGTGCAGTATCATCGCCTACAAAAAGTTTCGCGCATAAGATCATGAATTTTCATCTTTCTCGTAAGATAACTTTCGTAAGACAATTGTCGTAAGAATATCTCGTTTTCATAAGGAAATACCTTATTCAATTTTTGATAGCAATTTTCAATTTAAAATTAAATTCATTGAAATCTAATCTCTTCCGTCGGGAAATTTAAAAATTATATCCGAAAGAATGATATACTCGATATGTTCCTAAGTAGTAAGAATTATAAAGTTTCGAAAGAAAATTAGTTTTTTCTATTTTTCCGCGGATTTCTTCGATTACTGTTCTAAGAATAAAAAATTCTAACATGTCAAGTAAAAGAAATTCTTGTCGGCGAAAGATCGGTTTGTACGATTTATAGATAAAGGAATGGCGATCGCAGCAGACTTTGGATTCACCCGATATATAGAGTTGTTAGCGCGTCAGTGTCGATGCATCACGCATTCATAATTTGGAAACATCGTTAACATGACGTTTTATCGGGTCAAGGTCCTAACGAGATTTGAGCGACAGCCAACGACGGTTCGCTCCTCGCCGTGGCTCGACTTGAGATCTGTTCGACAGCTAAATTTAGCGACCATGTCATTCTTTAGATTCCGTAGAACGGTCTAATATTTGACTTGTTTGCTCCAGATCGAGCTCTAGAAATCGCCGAATCGTCGTACAAGAAGCACTTGACAATAGTTCTTGAAATCTACTCCTCCGCAATTATTAATTCAAATCCATGTCTATTCTCTTCGACTCTCTATAGGAACCTCGCTTCTCTAATTCTAGAGAAGTACTTTCATGAAAATTTAATCCCATAAACACAATTAAAAGCAATTAAGAGTATAGTAATTAACTTTTTCATTCTCGACCTGTTAAATCTTCATCGCTCTGTTAAGCCTACCGTTCACTCAGCATAGATTTTTAAAACGTAAGTAAAGATGCTCTTCCTTGGTTTGACGAAATATTGAAAAGTATTATGGGCCTTTAGGAGCAAAGCACGGATATTTCGGTGCCATTGTAGTATTAACATTACTTTCTTAATATTAATATTAAGAAGGTAAAATTAACATCAATAGCACTAAAACATTCATACTTCGCTCTTAAAGGCTCGTAATACTTTCCGATAAGAGATTTTTAATTCTGTAAAAACGGGAAACTTCCGCTCGCAGACAGAAATCGCGATTAACGGGTGGAATCATGCGCGTCGATGAGAGGAAATTAAAAAGAAAATGAGAATCCAGTTACTTCCCATGATCGATCCCTTTCGTCTCCTCGTTTCTAACTTTCTCTCTTTCTCACGAACAGTAGACGATCGGAATGTCGGTTATAGACTTTTCCTCGGTGAGGTGTTACGTATCGGCCTACCTTGCCCAACTCATCCTCCAGAGACGTGTGCTCCCCGGGTGAAATCGTGCTGGGCGTCGACGTGCCGCTGCAGGATCCGTTCACGCCTACCTCGTGCGGCAGCGTTATCGAGAGCGGTGAGCATTCCTGCCGCCACAGGTTGCGAACCTCGCCGTCGTGCACCTGCGCGCAAACGATGGCCAACAGGAGGCATATATAGAATCGCGACTGCGTTTCTTTTTTTTTTGTATAATCGCAATCATTTTATTCGTGCGCTTTTTTTCCTCGTACAATCATTATCAGTTTGTTCATCGTTAGTTCAGAGATCAAACGCGAGAACGCTCGTCTTTCACCGAGACAGTGACGTCCCTTCGTACAATAATTTACAGAGAATTCGTATAAAAAATGTACAAAAAGACATATGTACACAACGGTTCTCAGAGAGATTCCGAGTGGTCATACGAATAAAAGCGAGGCAACAAGAAAGCTCTTTGGCAATATACAGCATTTGTCCTCCGAGAAGGACACTTAGTGAAAGCATATTCCACTTATTTCCGCGCGGATATTCTACTTTCTCATTTTCTTCATGTATATTCTTCCACATACACCGATATTAAATATTTTAATTATTTTGTGTGTGTGTGTGTATATATATATATATATATATATATATACACAAGCACTAGCAAACACTGCAACATCTTCTTTCATTTCCAGCATTTCCGCCGATATCTCCCTCAGGCGAGTAAAAGCGAAAGTTCTTCTGTCTTTTTACCACGTAGATACGTGAAAATCTTTCGAATTTCCTCCCGGAAATGAAAGAAGAAGCAGAAGCGTTCGATTCATTCGCGCTATATCTACAATTCGGATTCGAATCAGAGGTCTGCGGTCGGTTCGCCGAACAGCCTGACGAGGAGGTAGTTGTAGAGCAAGTGCAAGATATGGAGCGATAGCGGTAAGGCCAGGAGAGCGACGGCGAAACTAACCGCGCTGTGGATTTCTTGGGACCAACGCTTGTCGACGCCGTCGCTGGTGCTGTAGCCGCTGTCGACGTTGTGGCGTCGATGGGACCTCGTGTCCAGCGTTGCGTGGCCCCTCGTGTCCAAAGGCGTCCGCCTGGTCCGACCGCCTCTGGCCCTCTCGTGCTTCGCTGCCTGCCTTTCCAAGTACTTGAAAATGTGCGTTCGCCCGCGAATGCATAGCTGAAATCACCGCCAGTGACGAGAGCTTAGGGCACGGCCTTCGGTAATACGCCGGAACGATCGATATTGACGCGTCGCGTCGTGACGAGCGAGCGTAGTCTCCGCTTCGGGGAAGACGATTTTCCTTCAGTGAAATCGAACTCCCCGCCGAGCGGTGACACGCCGTGTAAATGCACGGTGGTTTGAAAGGGAAAATTTTTCGCCGGAATTTTGAGAAATGTGATTCTTTATTCACAGAAAGTGTATTTAAGCTGGTGGCGAAAATTCTATATTTATCCGCGGTGACAGACCGACATCGAATGTCTTCGAATGGCGAGTTATCGATTCAATAAGTCTGAATATAAAGTTCGAAGCGAAAGGCACCGGTCTCGCAATCAATTCCGTAGGACGTAGGAGGACCGTGTATAAAGAAAACGAGACGCCGTCGACGGAATGGAGTAATATCGTGTAGCTTATTAAAATCCGTCAGACTGGCCATACGTAGGAGAGAGCGTGTATTAACGAGGAAAAGGGCGATGTCGAACCTCTCAATTGAAAGGAACTCGAATCGACTGTTGAAAAATGCTCACCGAAGCAGGCGGCGAGGTCAGAGGATTGTCGGACAGTCGGAAATCCACCAAGCTCTTCATCTTCCTCATCTCGTTTGGAAGCACAGATATTCGATTGCCACTAATATCCAGCTTCACGAGTCTCAGGTACGTCAGTTCTGCGCAAAAATGCGACCGTGCTTGAACGGATCTAATCTCTCTCGCGCTTCATTCGTTCGTAAAATAGCGGCATTTGAAACATTCGCTTCGCTGTTTCCTCACGCTGTTCACTCGCAATTGACTTACTCAGATCATACGGAGTGGCCGATTTTCTTGGAACTTATTTGCTTGAGATTACTTTTAAGCAGAGCGAACAGGTTTCCCACGGGATAGAGAGAGACCCAAAACGACGTCTCTCCAAGCGGATTCGCGATCGCGACCACTTCTTAATCGCAAACCGATACAGGTTGCGCGCGTGTGTGTGTGTGTGTGTGTGTGTGAGAGAACCCAGCGGTCGTGATATTTATCTACGTGTCTCGCTGTCGCGTTAAAAAGGTGGGTCTACCTATAGGCAGGTGCACCAGCAAGTTGCTCCTCAGGTCTAGAGACCGGAGCTGCGCAAGGTCGCCCATTCGAGGTGGAAGATTCGTGATTTCGTTGCAACCTGCGTCCAGTTCTGCCAACGCCGTCATCCTGCCCAGCTCGTCCGGCAGAGATGCTAATCTGTTGTGCGCGACTAGCAGGGTCTGAAGGGGTAGCCTGCATATCTCTCGAGGTAGCGACGTCAATTGGTTTCGACTGCGGATCAGGATATTATCTTCTTGAAACGCCGGGCTCGCGTTTACCGAATTCCCGAAAATTCGCTCACTTCTCTCAAACGAGCAATTGAGAGCTTAATGAATTATCGTGCACTAAGCGCTAACGACGTAAGCCTCTCAATAATTATATCACTAACGACTTTCGTAATATCTTAAGTAGGCTATAAATATATTAATATACATTAATATGTAAATATATAAATAATACATAAATATATTCTACAAAATATTTTATAAACAGCAGCTTATTAAAATTTAGACTTTTAATCTCTCACTGAGAATTAAAAAATTTAAATCTTCAATTGTCGTATTATATTGTACGGCGAACACGTCCCTCCGTTGTGGTTATAGAGCAGATACGTGCCTCTAACATGTAGCACAAAGCGTTATTGGCGCTATTACGCACACGATACAGCACCACAATGTACAGGACGTAGATGCATACAATAGCGATAATATATCGCATACACCACAATACCAGGTACGCGTGTACTCACCTAAGATCGAGGTAGTTGAGGGATTGGAGCATTACGACGGTTTCCGGGATTATTCTTATGGCATTATGGTAGAGGTGCAGCTTCTCGAGGAATGGAAATTCGGTGACTTCCTCCGGTAACTCGCTGAAACGATTCTTCGAAAGGTCTGCAACAGAAAATAAAGATATTCATCTTTACGATGCGCTAAAGAACAAAGTGGTATGACGACGACGGTTATTTTCGTGAAAAGAAAGAAAGAATAACTTGGGGTGACGTCGTGTTCAGCTTCTACGGGAAACGATCGTCACAAATGCATGCTTACACATGCATACACACACACATATTCGTCGAACACAGAGTCCGAAACGGGCCGCGCGTTGCTGAAAGGTAACTCGCAATTAAGAGCTGCCGTCGTCGCTCGACATCAAAGTTTTGCATTCTCGTTAGAACAGCCGACCGCGTTCGAAAGCGGCGCAGGAGCGATAAAAGCGCGCCCTTCCACTACAATTGGCCGATAAAACTCGTTAAAGGAGCGGCACTATCGAACTGTCTTAATAAGGTACCGTCGATATGTCTCCCATGGCAACAGCTGTGCTGCCCCGGTTAGGGTGGTCTTAGGGTGCCGCTGGGGGTTGTTATGAATGGGGCGCGTCGGCCACGTGCGCGCACAGACTCGGAGCGCAGGAAAAGGACAAGGGTAGCTCAGCTGCTCCCGGCTTCGAAGTTTCTTCCTGATCAATAATAGTCGGCAATAAGAGTCTTGCGAGCGGAAAGAATACCGCCGCTCGACGATTATGAAACGGTCACTGCATTTTCCACGCGAATGGAACGTATAAAATGTTACTCAAGTATGTAAAATTTCGAGAGCTTAACGTAATTATGTACACAATAAAAAATTTTCTGTTAAATTTAACACATTTCACACATGTCCTACCCAAAGAGCTAACTTAAGTTTTTATGTCAATTTAACGCAAAGTGAATAGAAATGTTGAAGATATTGTATCAAAAATTAACACGAAATTAATATGTTAATCTGTATTAAAGTTACGACGATAGATTATGAGATTTAATCTCTTCTTATATCGATTTTAGTCATTTTCCGGTATGTTTTCTGATATCTGCAATGGAGAGAAGGGTGCGACAAGGATAAAAGACACTCTGCATGTAAAACGATAAAAGATTTTCAAAGTTTCGAAAAGCTAATGTCGATCTTATTAAATGCGAGATGCTGATGGAACAATCGCGACGTTGCGACAGATGTCTTGCGCAGGACGTCTAATGTAATTCTTCCTACACTTCCCACGGATCTTCGAATCATCACCGAGATGGCGTGGAAGCGGATTAATTCACGGAAATTTGCCAAATGCACCCCAATCTACAAGGAGAAAATCAGATTCCGTGGTTGCTGATTGACGGAAACTGACATTCGTTGCGTCAACAGAATACGCGATTTCCTCCAGAGGAATCAAGAGCAAAATCTGCTCGAGAGCGAAGTTCATTATTCCGCGTCTTTTTCCGAGAAGTTTGATGATATTAAGCCAATTAAACGACTCACATAGTGATTGGGGGACAGAGAGAGAGAGAGAGAGAGAGAGAGAGAGAGAGAGAGAGAGAGAGAGAGAGACACTCTCAATTCGGGGCATTATCTAACGCAGTAGTTTTATAGCTGAAGCTTTCGAGTTGCGATCGGAACAACACGAATCGCGATTGTAGTCCATTGTGGCGTAAAGAGTAATTCGTCTTCATTTGTCGGAGATCGCGGCAATTTGCGCGGCTATAGCCCGAGGGCGTGTCTTGACGAGCGTAACTTCGTTAATCGATCTCGTTTCCTACATTCTTCGTGAACCAAGCGCACTGAAACGAGAACGATTCAACGGGGTCTAAGTCGAGGTGCGGATGGGATGGATGCGGTATCTCCGCAGCATCGAAATACTTCGCTACCGATAGTCGCAAATCGATATTGTACCGATAGTCGCAAATCGATATGTAACCCTCGGTACATCATCGGGATCAATCTGACCTCACCTTACCATTAGAGAATTAATATAATTAATCCTTTAATTCAATTAATATCACGATGATAAATTGTGGGCTAATGAAAGGTACCGGTATGACCGAAACGTTGAGTATAAAAGAGATGTTGCAATTGTTACGATTCGCTATTATCCAATGTACGACAAATGACATTTACATAAGAATGAATGATACACTTTCACTTGCTCCTCCGTCAATCGTTTATTTGCGTCGTTGTGGAAAAACTTTCTTCGATTATTACGAACAAATAAAAAAAGTCTTCCTTCTCTTCTTTTTTTTTTGCGATGACTGTATATTTATGTTGCATTGTACCATTTGTTGCTCTTACAGGATTAATCTTAGAGCATGATAAAGCGGATTCTGTTCTGTTCTAAAAAAAGAAAAATATTTCCGGGAAGCTCAAGCGTAAAAAGGATACTGACGCTATACCCGACGACGAACGCGAGTCGAAATATCGATACCCTGTTTCAAACCCCAGTGTCGTGGAATTGTCGGTCGATCAGGTGGTCGTGGATGCTAGGGCGTCGGTTTGTCCGACCAAGACGGGGTTGAAACTCCTTACCAACCCCTCGAGAGTGACTCCCATGCGATATTGGACTCTCACATGGCGGCGGGCGCGCCAAGAAATCCTTTGTGCAAAGTGGCAAAATTCTGCGGCAGAGTGTCGCGTCGCGTCGCAGACTGTGGCATATTGCGGCGCATCCATCCATTGTGATAGCTGCGATTCGGCGGCGATATATCGCACACTATAATTCATGAGTTCAAAGCTTGTGTGCTGCCGATGGGGAAAGGCGCCTTCTTCTCCTCTGTTTGATCCCCCTTCGCGGGAGAAAACAAAATCGTAGCGTAGGTGAAAGCAGGAGAGCTGAGCCAAACCAAGCCAAGGCGTCGCAGCGTGACTCTCGTCTCTGAATAGACGTTCGTTAGAGGAAACCGATGGAAAAATGCGCATTTCCCCTTTGTCGAACAGCACCGTCGTTACTTCGTACGCGATGCGGATCGATCCGTTTATCTCCGATGCGTTTTCACCGTTGATTGTACCGTAATCATAGAATAACGGACGTCCGCGTATCTAATTGCGCGCGCTCTACGAAAAAAGATGGCCTTTTTCGATAGTTTCTTCAAGATTGTGCAAAAAATTAAACAATGATCCGTACTTCTTTATACTTCCAGAATCGCTGTAGATATCAGTATGTTCGCAATACACAATGGACAATTTCATCTTCCCACAATATTATTAATACTGACAATTTAAATTAATATTTAAATGGCACTAGAGATCCACCATCCATGCTTTGGCTCTTCATCTTTAATTCTTCCTTTGGTTAAACCGAATAAGGAGCGGTCTTACTTTATTTGGAATTGATCGATTTCGACACCTACACTTTCGACGTTCGACAATAACATGGAGAGATAAACACAGTGCGGCATCGGCGATGATTTAACAGACGCAGGGTCGATGTCGAAATAATAAACCGTAATAAGAAGCCCACCGATCTAATTAGCATAGTGGCACAGTCGTCGCTTTTGTCTCTTCGTCTCGATTTTCCGTCGAGAGATCTTATCTCTCCGAGTTAGTATCGATCGGCCACGAGTTATTCACGTGACGCGAGTTATTCACGTCGCTATTCTCGAATTTACACACGCGCACGGGGCCGATAAAAATCGGCGGAACTGCGCGTGCGACGACTATAAATATATCTGCACTTCCGCCTCTAACGGTTGGACCGACCGCTCGATACGCGCTGGATAGAAATCAGCGGTCAAACCAGCCGTGCTCTTCGTGCGCCTCTGTACACGGCGTTTCAGACGGGGTCGACGTACCGGCAACATTTCAAGGACCAAGGTCGAGGTCCTGCCGTTGTCGAGGATCGATACACTACGCGATTTGCGTGACGCGCACGCACTGACATTATTTGCTGACAAAGGGCGTGGCAGTTTTCTCGCCGGGATAAACACGCGCGCGTCTACTCGATCTATCCGTCTAGCCCGGATTCAGCCCGTCTCAACTGGATGAATCGGTGAACGATTGGCTGCACACAATGCTGCTGAACAATGCATCCTCCCTACGTTAAGTGATCTCAGACAGATATTTCTTGGCCAAAAATGATTTCTTCAGTTACACTTCAAGTCGGTACAAACGTAGTTTTGTAATGTCCTATAGTTATAAATAATTATATAATATATTATTAGTTATTATTATTAATTATATAATATATTATAATAGTATAATAAATTATTACCATTTATTCTATTATCACTCATAGGTAAATATGATGTTAAGAATACTGCTTATTAGAAGGTAACCTTTAGTCACATCTGTCATACTACCAACTACTTGCGCTACATAGTATATTACTTTAAATAGTAATAGTAATACATATGTAGTAGCATATTTAATATGCTAAAAGAATATGTCACGAAGTAATTTCACATTATTATTATCTTTTTATTTCTAGAGAGGGAGGAAGTTAATGTGTAATGTCTGGAGCACAGTACGCATCTTCAAACTTTGAGATGATACGCGCCGCGATCTGTGGCTGGCAGGATGAAAGATAGAGCAATTTAAAACGCGAGGTACGATGTTACAAGAGGGCTTCGACGAATACTCGCTTCCGAAGAAATAAAAGTCCTCGTAGTTAACGTGACAGCGAATAGTAAGTCAGTCAGAGGCCTCGCCGTCGTCTCGCTCGAGTAGCAGTTCGGGCGGACTCGCTAAGAGAGTCGCGGGCGACTTGGCGTTGATAACGGAAAATGAAATCGCGCGAGCGGAAAACATTCGCGGTTTTCACGCCGCTGGAACTCCACGTGCTGAGACACGCCGAGGCCAATGGCCCAAGAGTGAAATAAATGTCCGGCTAGGCGAGACGACGACAACGGCCGCTTTGGCGCGCACTATTCACCCCGCGTTTCTTTTTCTCGTTCTTCAGGTTTCCACCTAAGCGACGACGATGACGGAGAAGAGGCGTCACACACGCTCTCTCTCGTAACAGGTAGCCCAGGAGGCCGAGCCCGGTCATTTCCTCGGGCGCCTTGGCTAGACGGGCATTGTTGCAACGCGGTGCAATAAACGAGAAGACATTCATGAGAGCGGGGCGATCCCGGGGAACTATCTATATCAGAGTTAATCTC